AAGTGCATTTTGGCATGTAATCCAACACATTTCAATAATTTCTTAGGCAATAAATGCTCTAATTACATTTATAAATCCAGTTTTTTATGAACCTTAATTTGGTATAAAATACTTTGTGATATCATCTATACTTTAAGCTGTAGAGAGGGGCATAATGGTTTTGTTATACCCTGTATAAATAAAAGCTTCATAGTACTACCTATCATTTGAATAAAAAAGATTAGTTGATTAAGTTTAATAAATAGTGAAGTTACAGGAATTTACTTTTCTCGCGGACTTTTGAGACCCTCTGTACATTCGTAATTACCGTTCAATAAAACCCAAGGATGATTGAAGTTTAAAAAGAACAAATGAATACACTAGATATGATTCAAATGAATGCAAAAAACTAAAAAAAATGTGAAGAGAAATATGTTATTTATCCTCTTTTATGACAATGATCACTGATGCATAGATCACTTTCTTTTCCTCTTGATGAAAAAAGCAAGCAATCAGATAGAAAAGTCCGTAGATAATATTTTTTTCTCGTCTCTCACGAGACGAAGTTTACCTCCCGTTAATATATGAAACGAGAAGAAAAAGTATACTTTCGTCAGGTCTATTACTTTAACAAAACATGTGTAGGTAATTAAATATGAGAACATGTTTACGTGCATTTTCGTCGTTCGTCGTACATGAAGTCATTGGTTATTGATGTTTTCTAACGTATGAAGAAAGGATGAACGACGCATGTGTAAATTCTCTTGAGAGTACGGGTTAGAGGTTTGAGAGTGTTTAAATTTAATAAGTCAGCACTTTTCTTTATATGATAATAATAATAATAATAGGAGTAAAAATAATGATCAATTGCTTTTTTCAATAATACATCAATTTTTTTTTCCTTTTTGAAATTTTTATTATTGATAAGAAATATAAAAATAATAAGAATAAGGAAACCAAGAAAAAAAAATTGTTATTTGAAATTATAAAAAAAAGAAATTAAATGAGAGATCTATCGAATTTATCATTATCAAGTGGTGTCCTAAAAAAAATTCATCAAGATGACGTATGATCGATGCTTTGGCAAATAATGTGCATGATCAATTACAAAAAATTGTAGAAAATCCATTGGCAGGGTATGAGTTTACGAATGAAAAAGATTGAAAGCAAATCATACGACATGTTTTAATAGTTACTCAACTTGTCATTGATCATAATATAACATAATGCAACAGAGTAGATCAGAATAAACAAATTTTATTCTTTTTTATTTTAATTTATATAGCAATGACAACAACAGGTCAAACTATAGTAAAGGAAAAAATAGAAATAGGAAATAAGTAATATTGTAATCATCTATAATAAAATATTTCAACATGAAATATGTAATAGTTGAATTTCCGGCAACTACAGGTGCCATCTTCGGAACATGAAGTTGTATATGTTGGTGTTGTTGTATGATGTTGTGTGGTGAAGAAATCAAATATTGATTCATTTAATAGATTTTTTTTCAAAATACGACCAATTTTTGATGTTCTTAAACGATGTTGTATGAATATACTAAATTCTAAATTTTAGTTCAACACCATCAGGATTAGTTACACCACCATTAAGACTATCATCTCTAAATAGAGAAGAATATGTACCATGTGTATTGTTGCTACTAAATACACACATAACATTGAATAATATAATAGATACCTGTTGTTGTCATTGCTATATAAATTAAAATAAAAAAGAATCGAAAAAAGAAATAAAAAAAGAATAAAAGTTGTTTATTCTGATCTACTCTGTTGCATTATGTTATGTTATATTATATTAAAAAAATCCATGTATCTATTATATTATTCAATGTTATGTATGTATTTAGTAGCAACAATACACATGGTACATATTCTTCTCTATTTAGAGATGATAGTCTTAATGGTGGTGTAACTAATCCTGATGGTGTTGAACTAAAATTTAGAATTTAGTATATTCATACAACATCGTTTAAGAACATCAAAAATTGGTCGTATTTTGAAAAAAAATCTATTAAATGAATCAATATTTGATTTCTTCACCACACAACATCATACAACAACACCAACATATACAACTTCATGTTCCGAAGATGGCACCTGTAGTTGCCGGAAATTCAACTATTACATATTTCATGTTGAAATATTTTATTATAGATGATTACAATATTACTTATTTCCTATTTCTATTTTTTCCTTTACTATAGTTTGACCTGTTGTTGTCATTGCTATATAAATTAAAATAAAAAAGAATAAAATTTGTTTATTCTGATCTACTCTGTTGCATTATGTTATATTATATTTAAAAAAATCCATGTATATATTATTCAATGTTATGTTTGTCATTGATCAGATGGTTATTGACTAGGGGTTGGTCATTTAATTTAATGGGACTTAATTAATAACATTAATTAATGTTTTTCATTAACCATTAATATTGATGGTTAATGTTTTCATTTAAAAACTTAATTCATTAATATTAATGATTAATGGTTAATATGAAGCAAATATTTTTTTTATTTTGATTTTTTCATGGAAGAAAAGTTAATTTAAAAAATACGAAGAGTAATTTTGATAATTTTTCAGGGCCTCTCTAATGAGGACTATCGTAACTATTCAAGACAAACTTCATGAGTTAATCCACAAAATAAATTTTAAGAAAAAAATTAACATACGTCATTTTTTTCATCAATTGGTACCTCACGAAAAAATGTCTTTAGATTTCTATGGCCTAAAGAGAGATGCCAAATAATGGTCCTAGCGTCCCAGAAAGAAAACTCGATCTAATTTTATTATCCGAAGAATCAACAGTCATTCCTGATTATTTTTTACAAGTTTGTTTTATATTTTTTCATGACTCATTTTTAATGTCTGGAGTCTCCTCAGGGATCGAAAAATATTATTTTTGTCGCCGTTCAATTAGAAGTCCCTATAACTTGGCAGGACTTAGTAGTTTGATTACAAAATCTAATAGTTTTTTCTTAAATTAGTTGGATAAGAACAAACGTCTATAACACTTTTTAGAAGCGCTAAAAAATGTTTTTCATCCGGACCTCCATCAAAATTCAATTTAGGTTCACAAAAATAGACTTACTCGACGAAAAATTCTTTTCTCTAGAATCATTTATAAGAAGTTCGACGATATTCAAACATTTTCCGACACAATAAATGCTAAATACTGCCCAGATTGGATCATATTGTCAAAGCTAGTGTTTGTTTAGTCTTTTGAAATTATAATTTATACAAATGCATCAGTAAGACTTTTCAGCATAATACCCTATGTCCACCTACGTGTATTTGAAATTGTTTCTGCGATCTTTTTTCGATCAAATTTTTGCCCCTGATTCTTCTGCAAAATAAATGAAAAAATAAATATGATGAAAACAACTATCCGATTGGTACATAAGTTTTGTAGATTATTTTGAATTTTCGGCAAATTTAACGCCTTGCATGTCGTGATTGAAAAGGGATAGAAGTTTGAAAATTTTAGTATAGTTCGAAGTCAAAGATACCTAACTACACTAAAAGTTTCAGATTTCCATCAGTTTTCAATTATGAGATGAAAGGCTTTAAATTTGTCTAAAACACAAGAAAACGTGCAGAACTTATGTACCAATGGAATATTTTATGGGTTATTTATTGATCTTTTGCCTTCAAGCAAGTATTTCACAAGTTTAGTACATTGTTTTAATTGTAGAAATGACTTTTTCAATAAATCAATGTTTCACATATTCAGTCACCACGCGAAATTGCGGAGACTGGAAGAGGTGTATGGCGAATTAAAGCATATAAATGGGAATTTTCAAGAAAATTTTGCAAAAAAATGCGTAAAATATAGTGGAAATGTGCACTTATTGTTGGGGAAGAACTAAAAGCTTCTGTTTATTGAGGGAGACTCATCTAGACGCTCGCTTAGATAGAATCTGCAGATATCTTTTAGACAATAAAGAGCAAAAATTTAAACAAAAAAAAGGTCGTAAAAACAACTTCAAATACGCACAATCTGCGTGTAAAAAGTCTTTACACTAGGGATGGACCATTTTATTTAATGGGACTTAATTACTGACATTAATCAACTAACTTCACTTAACCATTAATATTAATGGCTAATGAAAAACATTAACATTAATATTAATGTTAATGAAAAATATTAACATTAATTTAAGATTAATGTTAATGGTCCATCCCTATTATTGACTCTGCTGTACTTGTTCAAATGAGGGTGTAGGTATGGGTCAAGAGAATATCCACACCACCCACATCCTCTATAGGAAAAATCAGAATATTTATAAAAAAAAGAAGAAAGGAAAAATATGATTTTTACTAAAAGATACTGGTTTTTGAGCAAAAAGGCAGTTAACCTTCACTTTCCATTATAGTATGTAATTTTTTCTCTCTTTCTTGAGGGTGTGGGTGCGGATCTTTTATTCTTTAACACGTACACCACACGCCCGCACCCATACCCACACCCCAGGCTAGCATAGCAGTAAGCCAACGAATCGGAAAGCAACATTCTATTTACTGCTTCTTATGACATTTATCGTGAATCTATTATCATTAGGAAATTAGAAGTGATGTATTGAAGATGTATCTAACAAAACAAATAAGTTTTTACAGTATAATGATGTTAAATAAATAAAATAAATTGGTAGAAAATTAATTATAAGTGTGAACATTTTTGAAGTGATCAAATTTCAGGGCATGCGTATCAACTATAAAAGGTCATTTGTGTGGCATCTTTTTTTTAATAGATTATTTCAAAATCTCTAACAATATATATTAAATTTATAACAGGCAGAGTTTGTGAGTTCTACACTTTGGCCCTTTGAGAGGCCACACTGGCAAATTTTTTTTTTTTTATTAAATGAACTTTGTATAGTACAACTACAGATAACATATTTAAATGAAGATAGGAACGAATGTCTTTTCTACAATAATTGATTTTGGACGAGTAGAATTGTAGGACTATCATTGGTTTCCTAGATAAGTTCTCTTTTTGAATTATTGTTGCTGTTCTTCTGCTGACACTCTATTAATACCGGTAATCGGGCGTTTCCATTGTTTAAAAACAATAATAGAGATAACATGAATAAATTGTTGACGAAATCTTTTTGATACACAAATATATATATAAAATGGACTCTATAATATAAAAAAAAACAATTGAATAAATATCTAAAAAAAAAAATGTTTTGCTCACTGCAAAATATAAATAATACATCATTCCAGTTACGAAACTAACAAAATTTAATTGAGTAACATTAATTGAATTATTTGATAAATTTGCAGTATTGAGTATAAATAGAACACTAATATATGGTATAATAATAAAGACTTTAAAAACAACTTGTACAAGAACCATAGTTGTTAATTGTTTGTCTAATTCTCGTCGAATAAGTGGTATTGTTCGATAAGGTATTTGTCTTACATTACTATATGCTATAGATCCAAATATAATATCAATAATAATTGGTAAAACACCAGCAAGAATCAGTAAATAAACATAAGTATAATATTGTTGAAAAATAGGATTTGTTATGACACAACCAACTTTTCCTGTTCTTACTGAAAAACTAAGATTATACCAAATCAATGATGGTATACTATGAAGAAGCCAAATGACAAAAACTATTGCACATAAACGATAAGCTTTTTTAGTATTGAGATATTGTTGCCAATGAGGTTGAAGAGAAGTAGCCAGTAATTGATCGATAACTGCTAAACACATACATGTGTAGGATGTTAATGCACAAACTTGAAGACAACTAATTCTGAATTTACAGTAAAATAATGATATTTCTGTCCAATCAATATTGAATCCTGAAATCATAATACGAGAAAGTAATCCTGTTATCAATTGTCCAATATTGACAAATGACATGATAGTTAAAAAAAATGCACATGAACTTTCTCGAAATGTTTGAAGACTAAGAAAGACAATAATATTAAGAATTCCACCAAGAACTCCACCAATGAGAATAGGGATACCAAAATAGATAGATATTTGTTGTGTAGCAAAAGTATAAATCGTATTGATTGTAGTCGACATTTGTTTTTTGAAATTTTTACAGTAATTTCAACAAGTCAAGATGCTTCTATTTCGAGTTTGTTTCACAATAGTCAGTAATGTGTGTGCATATGTTTCTATTAAATAGCATGTTCGATTTGATAGGAAAATTTAATTAAGTATTAAAAAAATAGAAACTGTATCTGGATATGTCACATGCAATATATGTGCTGATATTTGTCAGAATTTAATTTGTCATCACCAGATGACTAGTTCGAAACATCTTTTTTTCTGATTCTGTACTTATTAGTCAATTTTCTCATAGTTATGCTATGATGCCAACTGTTAGCTGATGTGAGGAGGAGAGAAATGCAAAATTTAAGCAAAAATTTATTTTTGTTTGCTATAGATAGAGCTTATCGGGCTACATAGAGGAAAACAGTGCTATAGAGACTTGAAAAATGGTTTTCGTTGAAAAAAATTCAAAATGATGAGTTTTTCGAAAGTATGCAAAAATATGTGAAGTTTTAAAGAGCCGGTCTATGACTGAATCAAGCGTTTTCTTTATAGGGTGTCATAGAAAAAAACTTTGATTCACTTGTTTTATCATTGTAAATAAACGAGAATGTAAAAAAGTCTTTAAATTCAAAATTTTACCCTTCTCTGAATGACTTTTAGTTAGGTATAAAATGCTAAAAATAACAATCATACTTTTGGTTGTTTTTCCACTTAAATTAGAAAAGAATAAAGAGTACACTGTAGATGATAATAATACAATACGTCGACTCTCTCTTTACTCTATTAAAGGATATTGATAACAAAATGTCATTTCTGATCATCAAACATATTGACGAAAAATTTAGCTTTCTCTTTTTTTTTAATAGATAAATCACTGTTTTAAAAGAGTTGTAGACGATAGGGATGACTATTGACTTTGGATCGAAATTGACAATCTTTCAGAAAAGCTATTCACTTAAAAGCATTTGAGACCAGATCTGTCATCTTTTAAACTCTGAAAAATCAGAAAGTGTATTTTTGATATTAGGATATATTTAAGTTTTGATTAACTATTATAACAATGGATTTATGGTTTTTTTATGTATATTTTTCATCTGATTTGATGGCTTTTAATAATTCTTCACTATCTAACATATGCTTATGTAATTCAGTACACGGTAAGATAGAATTTAATTGTATTTTTGATTCAGCGGATATAAGCTCTGTTGTCATACTAAATCTTCTATTATTTATTAAATGCTTCATTTGTGAAAATGCTGATTCGACATAAGCATTACTGCAAGGTAATGTATATAAAAAAACAAATGAGCTTCTTAAAATTTGGTGATTCGGTGAGAGAAAATAAGAACATCCATAACTGATTAGATCTTATTATTTTGTTGTCTGTTGAATAATCATCATCAACTTCTTTTTCATCATCACATACGTTCACTACTACTATATCATTTTGCTTTCTAACAAATGTTTGAACTTGATCAAAAAGTGGAATATTTTGATCTAATATATTTTTATATATTGATTTTATTCTTGTAAATTCAAAATATACATTGATATTTTTTTTTACAGCCAATGGAAAACTAAGATTTTCTTTATGAAAAGAAAAGAATAGATTAAGGATATCATCAAGTATTGATAAGAATTATCTTTATATTTTTAAAAATACTCTTTCAAATATAAAATATTAGATGAAAATATAAAAATTACAATATTGAAAAAACAGAAAAAAATGAGAAAAACAGAAAGGACAGAAAAAAAGCAGAATTTTTCTTCTAACAGCAGACAAGGTGGCAGGTCTGTTTGAGACACGTTAATAGATTCAACAATCATTGTTTTCATTTTGTTCAGAACATCCATCATATTTCATTGTATATTTTGGCTTTACTCATTGAGCACAAGATGTTTTGACAGTTGTTTTCGTCTTTTTGTTTTATCAACAAAAGAGTCCTTGCATTATCAAATTATTTCGTTATGTTTTCAGATTTCATTATGAGATAATTCGCAGTTAATCACAACAAAGTTTCTAAAATATATATTGAAAAAAAAAAGAGAATCTGTGCGTTAAATTGAATTTCAATTTACTATTCTCATCTGAATAAAAATAACTTTCTTTTCATCTCTACATCACAAGTATATTCATCGATGAATGTTCTGAGACTCATTCATATTCAACAAAGTTTTGGAAAATTTTCTTTAATTTTAGACAATCGTCACTTTACTATGATTGAGAGAAAATAACTTGCAATGAAATATATTTGATAGCTGGAATCAAATTTCTTAGTGTCAAATAAACACACGATGTAAATCTACATATGATATTCACTTATGTTTCCATCCAATGCTAGATAGAATCGAAGTATTCATGGATTTGATTACCATGCTACCCCTGCTGTGAAATTTATTAAAAAGAACGAGTGCAATATATCCGTCTGAGTCTGTCACTATCAGATAAAACTTGACATTTTACATTAATCACCACTGTTTGAGATTGATCTTGCTTATTATATCCTGTTCACAAGTCTTCACAGTGATTGATGAAAGTGTTGGGCTCATCCTCTTTCCAGATTACATGAAAGCACTAGTTGTTAGCATCTCATGTCTTATAATGCCAAACGAGCAAAGGCCGATTCTCGAACAAAATGGATTTTTTATTTCGAGAATTCTTTAGCCCTTCAGGAATTCTGCACGAATCGAAAGAAAAACTTGCAAATTTCCAAGAAATATCTGATCTATTTGATTCAGGATATGACTGTGGATGAAGAGAATACTCATCCCTACAGATTCTCGCGAATCGATCCCATTTCTGAAATGAACCAAAATGAAATGTTGGGGTGTTTTTAGATCTATCTAACGATATATGCAGTTTATGGCACCAAGGAATTGAACTGATCTCAGTTACCACATAAATGTGTCCAGATATCGCAATAGCTTTTTAAGATTAGCGGAAAGAAGGCTCTTGCACAGCGTAAATCAAACAGATAAACAATTTTTTTGTGTATTTACTCTCCTAATTTCACTCTTTCAAACAAAAGACTCGAAGTCAATTGTCGAAATTTTTCCATACAGATGTTTTATATCTTACAATTTATTTCCCATATACAGTATAGTTAACAGAAAATACATTTGTTGTGAACAAAGTTGAATAGATTATTGTAGTCATGATAGTAGCAACTATTTTCTTTCTAAAATGTCATATTCATAGTTATTTTTACTAGAATAAAATAATTTATTCTGTCAGATAAATCCTAATTGAAATGTAAACAAATTCTTACAAATAAGTACAGCATTGAAAAATCGTGTCGCTTTTCTACACATATCAAATAAACCTCTATAAACATTTTCATGAGTTTAATTATTCATTATTCGCACATGATAAATCGATTCAATTTAATCATTAAATTTTTCAGTTCAAGGCGAAATATTTGTGATGTTGATATATAAAACCCAAAATGAAAACGTGTTAGCCATATAAAAAGTAAATGCTTCAATTTGTTGACGTTCTTTAATCTATACTACATTCACAATAGCTGATTTATAGATATACGTAATTGTATTAGGTGAAATGATAATGGTACAGATAATAAGTTTCACTAATAACATTCTCATCATATGATCGATCTCATTTTCAATGAATGTTCGCTCCTGACTCTGAAGATATACTCGGTTGAATACGACTATGCATTTGTCATACTTAATAATGGAAAAAAACAGTAGCAGATATTATGTAAATAGTGTAGATAATATCATATACATCACTTCTTGCGTCACGGACATCATTAGCTAGTGTACGCAACCCAGTAGGAAAAATAGTTGCCAGAAACTGGAAAAGTATAACAGATGAAGTAACACGTACAGCAACTTTATATTAGCTAAATGCATGAATATTTCCTTGATCACTGCAAGATGCATAACGATCAGCACAAACAAAGATAAACAATGTTCGTAACATTTGATTCAATGCATGTCGAAAATAGAAAAACATTCCATAAGAATATTGATTGTAGAGAAACGAACTTGGATAATCTAATCCCTAAATACCTGGTACAACAGAAATATTCAAACCACATATTGACATTGCTAAAATATAGAGTACACAAGGCTTTCGATGATATGTTGATTGACTAAACATACCTATATTGAAAAACGATCCAATACTACCAAGTATGACATATTTTCAATTCCTAAATGAATGGTTAGTATGAAAAAGTCTATTAATTTGATATCGTCAAAAAGGATTATTTTATATTATCTAAATAAAACTGTCTGAACTAGCTCTTTGAATTTAAATAACAATATGAAACAACTTTTTCATTAGTGGAAAATTTTTTGTTTTTTTTTTTCTTTAAGAAAACTTCTACCAAGTTTTAGACGTATCATCAAAGTATTGTATTAGTACCAGATGTACGAGAAAAATTTCTCTTGGAAGATCATCAATTCTTTTTTCTATTCGGGTCCACACGCAAATATCACTTGTTTTCGTCTTAGGGTCAATGAACTTTTACAAGAACGTACAAATATTCGTAATTTTGATTTAATTCGATTCAATGAAGTACACAATCGATGATTGTCATTCGATCGATTTTTGTAAGATTTATTTTTTGATAATTCTTATAACTACTTTATTCATAAACGACAATCATTATATGATAAACACGCGTCATAAAAACATCATCCGATATATCAAATTTAATTATGTTATTCAAGTAATTTTTTGTTTTAAATATAAGAGTCTTAGAATGATTGAACCACTCTCATTAAATGATAAATATCCAATTCCATCAATGACAAATTGGTTCAGATCTATTTTATTTTCAATTCTTGATGAAAATACTCGGACATCCATGTTTATCAAGTATTTAATAATGAATAAGGTTTATGTTGTTCTTTTAACAGGATTACGTAAAATGAGAAGAAGATACAATAGTAAGTAAATCAGTATGTAATCCGATTAAAACAATTTTTTTTAAAGTAATTAATATAAACATATATATCTATGTGTATATTACGTCTTTTTGTTTTAGTCGGTCATTCATTTCGTTGTCATATGAATATTTAAGTCTCATTCTTTTCCATTGCATTTCTGATTCTGTATTCAATTGATTACATCTATCTCAATAATTACTTCTGATACTTCATTCTGTATTTGTTAGATAGACCGCTGTCGATATCATTTTGCATCAATGTTATAGTGTTATTAATCGTTTTTGGAAATATTACAGATGTGAGTGTAGGTATCTGTGTGAGGGTGATAATACTCTTTCTATTCTTACATACACTATACTTGACGGAGTTGGAAGTAACCATCGCTAAAATTACTCGGTATGGTTTGTTTTAATTACTTACCTTCGATGAGTAGCTTATTAGAATGATTTCTAAGACTATATAGAAAAATTATTTTCAACGTCGTGAACAGTGCTCATATAAGATCGGAATACTGGTTAGAGAGTATTCTGACATGTATAACATTGATACCCATGACCGATTTCCGTTCAACCAATCGATTGATAATTGTTTATCGATCAGCGGCCTAGTGAATTCTCATTGTTGCGAGCGTCGCACACATGTTCAATGATTTTATGGATTTTTATTCGAAACTGTTTTCCCTATTTTACAAGATCAGGTTTCTCCGTTTTGTGAAACACGATCTGAACGATGTTGAAATATATGGAGTAGAAATTTGCATCAACCTCTCAACTTCCTAACACACAGTGACAGATCCAACCAGCCCCCTCCCTCTCCTCTCCCCATTACAGACGCTGACAGACAGCCTTCAGAAACCATCACAAACTGTGACAGACAAGCCCTAGAGATCATTACAGGCGGTATATTCATAAGATCTCGTTACTACTTATTATCTACTACTCAATAAGAGTTGTACAGAAATCCGGAAACAACAATGAGGAAATATGTTCCCAAATTCATCAAAAAAAGTAACTTTCGTATGATTATAGACAATAGCTATATCGTACTTCGTATTTTAATCTCGCAGGGATTTCACTAACGGCTTTTTTATTGATTAACCTATGCTTCCGTGTATGATACAACCATGTTAGTTGTGAGTGTTTCCTAATGATCCATATCAACACCCACACCTCGCACACCCAAACGCTTCCACAAACGCTCCCAAACTCCTAAGCCCCACACTCACATCCACATCCACACTCAATTCAGAAGGGACAAGTACTTTTGTCTGGGACTGTATGTGTTAATCTTTGAACGAATTGATTCAGTTAATTAAAATAAGAAAACATTTCATTGAGTTTTTCAAACTATTTTATTTGTTTTGAACTCATTTCTGAATGATCTTGTTACATCAATAAATTCTTTTTGGCATATTTGTTCATTCAAATATAATTAACAGTAGAAAAAAAAAGATTTATTTATTTTGATATTTAGTAAAAAGTTGACCGATATTTTCTTCGACGAACAGAGGACCTTGAATTTTGCCTGATGCAAGTGTTGAGCCAAAACTAGTCACCGAAACTTGTTGACCTGAGCCAGTATTGCTGTCATAGTTGCGTAGCCATGGACCACCGGATGAGCCACCATTCATTCCACAGGTTATTTGAATTCCTTTGAAGTTGAATATCATACCCAATAGAACTGAAGTTGCCGATGTTGCTGCAGCACATGTATCCATCGTTTCACCCTTGTCACTATTTATCGGATAACCGAATACGTTCGTATTGTCTTCTTTGGCCGCATTAAGAGAAATACCGAAGGCTCCAGTCAAATCTTGTACGTGTTTGCCTTCCTCATTTGGCTCTAACAAAGCAATGGCAACATCATTGTTGTAATCTACTTTAGCCATCCATGCTTCTGTGGTTACTAATTCACGTGCTGCGAACGAACCGAAAGGGCGTCCGTCACGCGAGTAATTTGGCACAAAAATCCAGTTAGTTGCCCATTGGTTAGCAGTATTATTATACATACAGTGACCAGCCGTCACGATCGTATTGCGATTTTCTGCATTCACCACCGAACCGGAACAGATATATGTTAAATCATTCATGGCGAAGAAAACCTTGCCAGCTGCATTAGGATCTCCAACACCTTTACTTAGTAGAGGGGCACTTGGTGTCAAAATTCTTTCAATAGCATTTTCATCGCCATTGCGATTGTCGCCGAAAGGGGTTTGATGATTCACAATGGTAGGTGGTTCCACCGGTCGAGCCGAAGCCATTCGTTCTGGCGTCCAAAAATCGATGATCGATCGAAAATATGCTTTTCGTGTTAGACCACGAGGAACTACCACTTCAATACTGACATCACCAGAATTGGAACGGATAGCAGCACCATTGCTAATACTAATCGAACCGAGAATGAGAGCTACGACGACAAGAAACGACACCATCGTTTTTTTTGTCTTCTTTCTTTTCCGGTTGTTACTAATCGACAGACTGGTTTGAATGAGTATTTATACTAGTGTCTGATAATATCGAAAAAGTATAAACGTGCACTTCATCATAAATAATTTTATGAAATCAGACTATAAATTCACTCTTATCATCGACAAACAAAATTAGCTTGCTTCTATTCTGTCAATAGGCAAGTTTTGCTTTCGATCAGATACAAAACATCCTGAAGCTTTGTCAATCAACCATTTTTATCATGTATTTGCGTTCTTTTTGAAGATTTTTATGCGCACTCAAGATAACGTCTTTGCAATTAACATTCAACATCAGTATCGAAGTACATAATTATTTCAAGCGAGGATAAGGTCATTATAATTTTATAGATCATATAGGCACCCTGGACGAACTTATTTTGGTCTGCGCGTGAGATACTTGAGAATCTTGTTTAAGAAAGTCATGCGCTATGGACAAATCCTGAAGCAAGACTTGAGACCTTATAGCGAGTTCAAGCTCTTGAACTTCTTGCTCTATCGCTTGATATTCTTGCCCATACGCTTGAATTCCCATCCAAGCGTTTCTGTTAATACGGAACTTTTTTAGTTTTTTTTTCAATTTTACGTTCAAAAATAAGTCAACTTGAATAAAAATTTATCGTCGCATTTTCTTAAGTTGAGCGCATCAGTTTCTTGTAAATCATGCAAACGCTCAAGCGCTTGTCTTGAGCAAGCAAGTCATGCACTATGGACAAAACTTGAAGTTTGCGCAGATCAAAAGCATGAAAAAAAACTTCGCCTAGGGCATTCATCACAACAATGTTCTATTCATTGTGCTTCATTTTTCAATATATTTTCATTGATAAATAAAAGAATGTATCGATGACTATCATAATGTTCTTCTTTTTGTCAATATCAAAGTCCAATTATTGTTTTATCGCTTATCACAACCACGTCCACTCAACACCAATACTTCAAAGAACTCTGATTTCGAAAAATAATCTGAGCAACAAAATAAAGACTATTGTGCTGCGAATTACAGCTGTAAACATGTTACTTTTTATTCACTTTCGGTTATAAAATCTCAAGATAGATCAGATGTCATTCATTTTCTTTATAATGTTTATCAAGTTTACTGACGTCGAACTTTCGATTTGACTATAAAACAGATTGAAAATAAAAGTAGTCAACAACATACAAAAAACATACTTATAGAATACAAAACAAATCAGTTTTGTCTAAAAGAAATACATTCACGCAACGTGCGGCCATAATCTGTCTACTGGTCGTCAGATCGAATATTAGAAGAGTGAGCAAATTCGAATAATAACATAGAAAAAGTCTATAATCGAACATGTAAAAAAGTTCTAAAAGGATGGTAATCACAATTTTAAATGGTGTTCAGGTCAAATAAAGATAATTTAGCTTTCAACTATTCACAGATCTTTTTCGGAACTAAACTCATGTTTGCCGAGATTCAGAATAGAGCAGCACGCTAAGAACTACTGATACTAAAACAAAAAAAAAATTGTTTCTAAAATTTGCTCATTCTAAACGAAATTCATTGTACGATGTCACAATAACAGAACACATTCGGATTTAGTGAAAGATTCAGTTTTGTAGAGAGTCCGACGATGAATATTTTACGAAAAAAAGATCTGCAACTTTGTTATGTATCTGCTAGGTAGTATGCAAAATTTTTGGCAGTTCACCGTTTACGACACATTCCATAATTCACCCATTTTTTAGCGCACACCTTTTCTGAGAAACCAATGCTAATAGATAAATTTGCTCCTAGTCGAACTTTTTCCATGTGCAGATCTCAAGATTTGTCCATATTACATGACTTTTTCTCCATAGACAAGCGCTTGAGCGCTTGCATGAATTATGTGCATCCATAAAGTAACTCATACGCTGAACTCATGAAAATCATATGAACGAGCATACTTCAAACGATCAATTAAAATATACACACGAGGGATACTTAACAATTGTTGACGCATAGTACTTATACATATATTCAGGTCTACGAAAGTTACTCCGTCTCTCTTAATACTATCTGTGAAGCTTATTCGTCGTATTCTTGACCATCTTGATGATCACAGATTAGAGTTCTTTCTCAAGGCTATGAAATTGATCGGAATCGCAATATCGAAAATTAATTTGCGCTTGAAAAAAATAGAAAAAATGACAATATTAAGAGAATTTCTCTTGTCACAAACATTCGAATGTTGCGTAATTTTCAAACAACTGATCAAAGAGAAATGTTTGATTAATCTTGAGAAATAGATCGTTGACAGTCCCAATATGCGATCTCCGAATAAAATAATCTTGTAGATCAGTTCGATCTTAAACTGTGTATGAGAAAGTTCACTTTTCCAAAAAAAAACATTTCGTTTTTCTGAAAAATAACCGAAAAGTGTTTACCGGCACGCAAGTTGATTTGTCTTCTTGAGTTACTTTTGTTCCTGAGATGATCAAACAAAGTAAATTCAATCGATTTAGAAATATTGTTGTTCTTCATGAAATTAACCATGAACTATTTAAGAGAATGTACAAGATAGTTATTGTAAACATAAGTCCAACAGTAAATCTACTTGAATAAGGCAACATTGGTTTCTATAGTTTGAACCTTTCATCTTCAAATATAATCTTAGTGATAAGAGGAACCTGTTAGTTATTCTGATTGTCACTACCACAGTGAAGAGAAATGAGTTCATGTGCAAAGTTGGGTGTCGGTGTGGGATGTGAGCTAGGGTGAAAACACGATATACATCCTTACCGGTAACTCATACCCACATCCTTTTTGGTCGAATGTTTTTTTAAAGTGCGATAATCGAAAAATTATGGTCTAAGTTACTTCACTAGAAAAGTTTTGATTAGTTTCAACAGATAGTCAATGTTTGCGAATGAGAAAGAGATAAGAATAAAAATATAAAGAACACAATCGTATCTGCACCACAGCGGCAACAAAAAGTAAATATCAGATAACACATGGATTGACAATATTGTTGCTTTTATTTTCATATATATTTCATTTTCTAGAAACCACACGGAATAGCCAACATGTTTCGCAGTGTACCAAGAGATACACCGATGTGACATGCTATCACCAGTATGTAACACCATCCTTGCGTTATTTCACTCTTACTTCATATCATCCTTGTATGATGTCAACCTTGTATCTTTACGTAATACTGTTCATTGTGTTCAATACGCTTTCAATACCTTTGTAACCGCTGTGCTATTCATTGCATATATACTCCTTGTTCTCTTATCACTCCGAGAGATTACCGCATCAAACAGATCCAAGGATAAATCGTTGAGAAGAAGAAAGAAGAAAAGAGAACAATCGAAAATATTCTCAATGGATATTGCACAGTGTGAAGGATACGCCTCACTCGAGGTCACACACCTTCCTTGGATGGTATCTATATATTGGTGTACAATTCATATATTAGCAGTTATAGAGTGCGTCATATAGAGAGTTAGATGTATATATAATAATGTGTGTGTTTATATCAAGAGAGAAATAAAATCACGTACAACAAGTAATGCAATTGAGGTTGAAGAAATGATAAACAAAGCAAGGTCTTAAAATACGTGATTCAACCACGCGGTCACCCATCTTTCTGCATCGTATCCTTCACCTTATTATCAATTTTCCATTACACGTAGTTCTGGGATTGATCTATATTCTATATGTTACATGTATGATTTTTGAATACTTCAGTTCATTGTCTCAGATTCATTCCCATATTAGAATCTGCTCATCACCGATTATGAAGCAAATTTTGATCACGCTTTAGCTATCGAAATCGATCAACAAATTTTCAACATGTTTGCTAGTGTTTATATGCTAAACAATAAAACTTGTCTTTCATTTCAATCAATCATTATATTATCTAGAATGCTTGATTGGTAACATCACAAGCAAAAGTATACTTTTTACTTTTAGATATAGAAAAATCATCAGAACTAAATAGTAAAAAACAGTCGTCATAATCAAATAATTCTATTATCATGAATGACAAATATGTTTCCAATAACAATGAATCGTTTTTATCAAAATATTCATTCCATTTCTTAGTACATAAACAAGAATATATTGAAGAAATAGCAAAGATTTTTTATGAACAATGGCAAGATACTTATCATGCATTTGAATTATATAATTTACAAGCTGTTATACAAGATATCAAAGATAACCATGCTTGTAATTATGATAAGCTACCAATATTAGCGATTGCATTAGATAATAATAATCAAAATTTGGTTGCAACAGCTAGCTTAGAAAGGTGTGATGTACCTAAAGGCAATCCCTATTACAACACAACACCATGGATGGCCTGCGTTTATACAAAACCAGAATATCGTGGTAAAGGTGTAGCAACATATATGATTAATAAGATTCTCGCAGTGACAAAACAACTAAATTATACCAATGTCTGGCTATGGACAGAAAATGCAACCAGCTTATACGAAAAACTAGGATTCCATATAGTAGAAAAGATAAAACATATTGGAATGGATATTATGATTATGAGAATTGATTTTGATACATCAGCTTATTAAGAGTTAGAAGAGTTCGAAATCAATCCTTCTCTCCAAAATAAAAATGTTTGGCCTAATAATTCTTTATTCATGTTGACTAATTTTGTTTCATCATATAAAATAGTTTTCATAATATCTTTAGGATATCATTTTCAGGATAAAGTGAGAACGATTCATTCGAATCGTTTTCTTCACCGGCTCAAAGTGAAATAAACACTCAATTATTACAAAAGTCTTTACAAATGCTTTGATCGCATCCCAACGATTCGAAATCTAATGATCAATCCTTTTGTTATTTGATAAATGTATTGACAATGAGACGATTTTCTGAGCAAGTTGAACTGGATTGTTCTATGTCATCTATGTGCCTCCGATTTGTATCGTCATCAACTGTAAATGTGTTCAATGTTACTATTCACTATGAATTATATGCTGGTCCTATCGGAACAAGT